TACACGAAAACACAGCTTCCCTATCTTCATCAATATTTACAATTCCTCAAAATATTCCTTCCATCTTCCCAATACCTCTAACTCTCCCTTTAATAACTCTCCTCTCCTATTTTTAACTGACAAATCCATTTGTTCTCTAGGCTTTCTTAACTTGTTTTAATCTCACTCCAAAAAATTTTTCTTATTTTCAACAAAATTTGTTGATAAATCTCACCCCCTCTCTCATTTGCTCTCTTTTTACATTGCTTTACCACTCTCTTAATTCTCTCTTTTTCTCCATATACTCTTCCCTCCTTGCATCACTTCTACTTTGTAAAACTTCTCATATGTAACTTTTTCTCCCTTAAATACTCTCTTTACTCTCATTCCACCAAACGCTCCTCTTCCCCCCTGCACCCACTTTCCTGTAAACCCCAAATTCTGCTGAACACTCTAACACTACATTTTTAAACCTACCCCATACCTTTCGACCCATTGCCTATGCTTCATTAGCCCATTCTATCCTCCAATAGCTGTTTATATCTTACCCTAACTGCCTCCTTTTTTGTTTTTAAAACCCTTCACCCCTCTCTTCCCTGATGCTTCTATTCTCCTTTTTATCCCATCTACCTTTTACTCTCGTGTAGCTACAACTAAAAAAGTGATTGATATATCTGTGGCCCCTCTATAAACATGTACATCCTGAAGTTACTCAACAGTCTTTTTTTCTACCAATACATTAATCCAAAAACTACTGTCATTTCCCCCCCTTCATATCGTGTATACTTATTTCCTCTTTTTCTTAAAATATGTATTACCTATAACTAAACCCCTTTCTATACAAAGTTCAATCAAAGGGCTCCCATTATCATTTACACCTGGCACCCCAAACTTACTACCACACCCTCTCTAAAAAGTTTCTCCTACTTTAGCATTCAAGTCCTCCCACAATTACTCTCTCACTTGGTTCAAAGGCTCCTTACATTCACTTAACATCCCCCAAAAAATCTCTCTCTCTCTCTGCATTCTCTCTTCTCCCAGGTGCTTTACACGCTTTTATGACCCACTTCTCGCACCCAACCTTTACTTTAATCCACTTAATTCTTGAATTTACACATTCATATTCTCTTTTCTCCTTCCATAACTGATCATTTAACATTACTGCTACCCCTTCCTTTGCTCTAACTCTCTCAGATACTCCAGATTTAATCCCATTTATTTCCCCCACTAAAAATCTCCTACCCCCTTCAGCTTTGTTTCGCTTAGGGCCGGGGACACCCAACTTCTTTTCATTCATAACATCAGCAATCATCTTTTTCTTGTCATCCGCACTACATCCACGCACATTTAAGCAACCCAGTTTTATAAAGTTTTTCTTTTCTCTTTTTTAGTAATTGTATACAGGAGAAGGGGTTACTAGCCCATTGCTCCGGCATTTTAGTCGCCTCATACGACCGCATGGCTTACGGAGGAAAGATTTTTTTCCCATTTCCCCCATGGACAATAGAAGAAATAAAAAGAACAAGAGCTATTTAGAAAAAGGAAAAAAAACCTAGAGTATGTATATATATATATGCATGTGCGTGTCTGTGAAGTGTGACCAAAGTGTAAGTAGGAGTAGCAAGATATCCCCGTTATTTTTAGCGTGTTTATGAGACAGAAAGAAACCAGCAATCCTACCATCATGCAAAACGTTACAGGTTTTTGTTTCACAGTCATCTGGCAGGACGGTGTACTTCCCTGGGTGGTTGCTGTCTACCAACCTACTACCTGAGATATATATATTATATATATATATAATATATATTATATATATATATATATATTTTATATATTATATATATATATATTATATATATATATATATATACAATGGACCCCCGGTTAACGATATTTTTTCACTCCAGAAGTATGTTCAGGTGCCAGTACTGACCGAATTTGTTCCCATAAGGAATATTGTGAAGTAGATTAGTCCATTTCGACCCCAAACATTTCACTTACAAACGCGCTTAATAAATACGCTTACATAATTGGTGCATTCGGAGGTGATCGTTATGCGGGGGTCCACTGTTTTTATACAAGTGGACCCCCGCATAACGATTACCTCCGAATGCGACCAATTATGTAAGTGTATTTATGTAAGTGCGTTTGTACGTGTATGTTTGGGGGTCTGAAATGGACTAATCTACTTCACAATATTCCTTATGGGAATAAATTCGGTCAGTACTGGCACCTGAACATACTTATGGAGTTAAAAAATATCGTTAACCGGGGGTCCACTGTATATATATATATATATATATATATATATATATATATTATATGCAAACAATCACAGACAAGTGATCTTAACAATGCAAGACAAGCCACGAGGGGTGGAAATCTTTAACTCAAGTGCTTTCACACTTCTCTGAGAAAATGAGAGACAGTAGTGGGAGTCACTCATGCTACTATCCTCTGAGAAAACTTCCCCTCATTTCTCCTGTTGCTACCTTTGCAACATTGCACAGCTCCTGATGATGCACTGAGAAGTGTGAAAGTACTTGAACTACAGATTTCCACCCCATGTGGCTTGTCTTGCACATATACTGTATTTTTTTTTTTTTCGTGGCAACATATAATTTTTTATGCATTTTAACGCTAAATATTAACCCTTAAATGGTCCAAACGTATATATACGTTCTCTCGCGTAACGCCCCAAATGTATATATACGTTTCATTTGTCATTCATTCAACATTAGCATGAAAGGCCTGAGTCGCCTAGACATGAGAGAATGGATGTGCGCACTCAAGTGTGCACCATATGAAAAAAATTGGGGACGCCTGGGTACCACATGCTCTTTTTTCCTATAAAAAAAAAAAAAGTTTTTTTCTCAAAATATTCGGGGCGCTGCGTAGGTAAACGTATATATACGTTTGGACAGTTTAAGGATTAAGAAAAATATAATTTAAGAATTTTGTAGCATAAATATTAATGTAAATTCAGCAAAATTTCCATATAAAATATAATACTGTATAAATTTTTTACTGTACGTATACCAAAGAAAACATGGTTGCATGACTTACAGTATACCAAAGAAAACAGGCTTGCATGAATTACAGTACAATGGGGGTAACATCGGTAATTTACATTCTAGCACTTTCGGAGACAACAGTACAGTACTGTATACAGGTTTATCTTTACATTTTATTTTTTTTTAAGGGTGATGTATGAAGCTGAGTTTGAAATTAAATTAAAGTGTTTTGGGGGCATATTTAGGGTTTAAACTATAAAAATAAGCATTTTGTTAACTGCATCCAGGAGGAAGTGCTAAACCCATAGGATTATACAGCACCTGTGGGGGGGAAATGGTTTTTCCAAATTCACAGGTGGTCTTGGAATGTAACCCCTGCGAATTTAGGGGGACTACTGTATGTATGCATGTATGTATGTATGTATGTATGTATGTATGTATGTGTGTGTGTGTGTGTGTGTGTGTGTGTGTATATATAATGATATGAAATACAATATTTTATTTTATAAGTTACAATTTGATCTGATTTTACATTTCAGAATGCTGCTTATACTTTTTATTTTCGAAACTTGGTTCACTATATCTTTAGTAGGCTACACAGAACACACTCATATATATTATACATTCACTATATTCATAAACTGTGTACAAATTAGATCATCCTATATCCTCTAAATACTTGCTTGTAAACTAAAGATAATCTTTCTAGCCAGCCCATCCTGCTCCACTCCTTTCCTGTCTTCATGACATATATATGGAATATTTCTGTTTGACATCCATGCCTCAATGTATTTTGGGCTAATATATTCATGTTATGAATTGGAGTAATGTTATCTTTTTTTTTTATTTATTATAGAGCTTTAGCTTTCTAGTAACAATTTTAGAATTTTACTGTATATGAGTTATATGTTAAAGTTGTGCTGTACACACACATACAGTCTAGCACTCTGAAAAATCTCTTGAGAAAGCATGAGATGGCCATCACCATCAAACTTGGCATTTTTATTTCTTTCAATGCTACTTAAACACATTTACCTCCCCTTGTCTTCCCCGCCACACACACACACACAAACACATGCACATGTCCCTGCTTATGCTTATGTTCAGCTTATTTGCATGCCACCCCTCTTCATTTATACAAGCTCTGCTTTTTCTTATTTTTGCACATAAGCAATGCTTATGCTATTTTAGTAAAAATAGCAATGTTTTATCTTTGTTCTTAGTGCACTGAGATTACACTTACATCAGAACCGAAGTGTCCAGATGTAGTTTTGCCACTACATTAGTTATGATACAAATATATATGTATTTCTTGGCTTAAAATTATGACATTTACAGTAATTAGCAAAGATAAGGCTATATAAAAATATATGTTTTTACATATAAAAATCTGATGACAAATCAGAAAGAGATTAACAATTTTGGACAACTAAATAAGAATTTATCTACCAGATTTTTAAGCCACAGGTCACTCTGTTGCCTAACGTACTTGTCTGTGTTACAAATACTATACTCAGTTATGCACCAAGAATGGGGATCAAGTCAAAAGCTGACTTGTGTTACTCTGTCTGCTAGTTCTCTTAACTGTTTTGTCCTTGTTCTGTCGTTTGCAGTGATGAATTTGTGGTCCTCCCCAAAGGCGTCCGCACGCATGCTGGGCAATACTTTTGGCCCATGAGCAAATGAACTAAGGCGGGAGGGCAGCCAGTGTCAGTGGTAGAGTGGCTGTAAGCAGTCTTAAACAGTGCCAATGAGAGCCTTTCAGGAGGGCACCTCGCCCTGTGCTGGACACACACATGACACCTGGGGCCGACCCCTGTCCTTTCTCCCGCTACCACCACCATCACCACAACTACCACCACCACCACTACCACCACCACCACTACTACCATCACCACTACCACAGCTACCACTACCATCCCTATCACTGTTGCCCTTCAACACGGGCTTGCCTGTGACCCTCCTACCTGCCTGCGGCCTGAGGTGACGTGTGCGTGTCTCTTGCAGTGATGAGTACTCGGCGAGACCATCTAGTGCCCTCCTGCGCTCTGCCAGTGAAGAAGCACTGCCTGTCACACGGTACGAGGCAGCGAGGTTTGAGGCAGCTTCACCCCAGGATCCACGCCTCTATTCACCGCCATCTGATGCTGCTTCCTACCATGATGACCAGGACTTCCCGCCCACAGAGCAACAGATCGAAGAACCACTAGAGGCTGCTGATCCAGACCATGCCCTCCTGCCCCAGAGGAGGTATCCTGAGTACAAGCACTGACACTGGCCCCACTAGGAAACTGGGAGGGCCAGGTTTCTTTAGAACAAACGCCATCATTAGTTGTTGATGCAGAACTAATTGTTCTTGACAGCCAGTGCATCTTCCTCCAAGTAAAAGTAGCAATTTATGGTAGACATAGGACTCTATAATTGCTACAGTTATCTTTGCAGAGTCAACTTGTGGCTGCAGACACTTATACTTTAGGCAGCTAAGTACAGGCTGGGTATTTTCATTACTGGTATGTCAACCAGCTTTTGCCACAAGTTCATCAATTTTAGATCCTTTGTGGAACATGTTACATGCTGCAATAGTAGTGACAGATGGGTTGCAATGATAGTGAAAGCCACTCCTCTTGTGTTAGTGAGAAATGGACTGCCATTCTAGTGAATTGTAGACAGCTATGCTAGTGAAATAAGGCCTCATGGGGAGTGGCACCCTAGGCCCAGACTTTGCTCTCTACCCCGAGAAGTGTTCATCAACCAGTTCTTATCAAGTCTCAGTGCCCTGACTCGTCTCACAAGGGATATGCCACTGTCAACAATCATATAATTTTTACAGTGTACAGTATTAATTTTTAGAGTAAAAGTCATCTACGGAAAAGGTTTAATAGGGCCCAGGATACGAATGTTCTCACTCACTGTGTGTCTCAAATATGCTTCTGGTGAGATTGAAAATATAGGATTTTAGTTTGCTAATGCAAACTTAGCCGTCCAGCGCACGAGTGATACTCCACTTCTTCACCATCAAGATGTCAGTTCTGTTGCTCAAACCGATCGAAGAATCTCAACCCTGTAATACAGTACCTTGAGATGTCAGTTCGGATATGACCCCAATATTTCTGTTTATGTGTGTAATGTAAATGTAGTTGACAAGCCAGTGACATAACTTAATCTGTCAGTCTCTTAAGCTTAGAATTTTGCATTTCTTGTATAAGAAAATCTCTGCTTATGAAGACTGAGAGGTTAACCAGTTCCTTGACTGTCAGTACCTTGTCAACATTCTCTCCCAGAATCATCACTGGAATTAGATGTTTATACGTACAGTTGTGTATCTCACACACTGCCCATTTAAATCTTTTTCACAATGTAGGTGGCCAATGATGCTCACCCAGTACCTTGTAAATAATTTTCTAGACAGGGTGTCAGTACTTACCCTTTGCTGCAGTGCAAAAGTTCAATGCAAGCATGAGGGTTGAGGCTTATCTGCCAGCTACTTTGATTAAACTAGCAGCTGGTAAATGACCCATCAGCTGTAGTGGCTGGTTGGCTCTCAATGATTCTTCAGAGCAGGATCTTTATGATCTTAAACTTTTCACTCAGTATAAGACTTCTATCATCCTGAAAAACTTGTGCATAAAGCAGGCATATTTTCAGAGATAGAAGATTGACACTACTCGCATATTCTTATTTACCTTCAGCTACTTTGAAGGGCGAAATCATAACTTTCAACATTTTGAGTCTCATTGCTCTAAATGTTGCAGGACTGTGAAAGCATGATCACCTTATTTTAAAATTCTTGCTCTTGATACTTGAAACAGTGCTTTTGAACATTACACATTTTCAGGAATTTTAACGTCTCAGTACCTACAAAACACTATATCAACTAATCAGATTTTCTAACTATATAATTTACCATAAACCAAAAAGTTATAGAGCAAGGACAGAAGTTGCTATGACAGACAAAAGGTTTACATACTGTATATTAATATTTAGTCAAAATGTAGCCCAATGAGATTGGTTCAGCTACTGAGGATCTCTGTTATGCCAGCCCTCTGTCCTGATTATAATCAAAACAAGCACTACAGATTGCATTAAAATCTTGTTTATCTTTGAGTCAGGAACAAGTTTCCAGCAGCTGATACTTCAAATGATGCTCAAGTATGTAACATATATTATTCATGAAGTGAAAAGTCATGTAATATCAGTCATTGCCTTCTGGGAAGGTAAAGTGCAGACTGAAATGAACAAAGTGAAAGAACTTAACTTTCTTGAAGAATTGCCTTCTAAGAAGGTAAGGGAGTGAAGATTACACCTTATAAAAAGGGAAATGTAAAGGACCCCTACTCATGTCTTTACAATGACTTCTGTGTCTGTGCTTGAACAGTAATGCCCATTGGGGATCAGTACTTGAAATGGCATATTATCTAGTCTGAATCAAAGACCTTCTGTCCTACTGCCAATCATTCACCCTCATTAGTCATGTGATTAGTATCATCAAAGGTAGAAGGTGTTGGCTGTAAGCTTTTATTGCTCAGTATGGGGCAATGATAATGGAAGAGTGCTGCCACAAGATTATATGTTATAGTGAAATTCCTTCACAGAATTAATGAGGTGCAGTAAGAGTTATGGACTCATAATATCAAATAACCACACAATTTTAAATCATGTTGCATCCTTGTCATACAAAAAAAGAGCTTGTTTTATTTTGTAATCATAACTGTCAAGCCTCATTAATTCATATTGCTAATAACACTGGTGGTAATTGTTAGCAGAAGCTTCTGTGAAAACAAAATAAGAAGAAACACACAGAAATAAATAAAAGATTACATATACACTGTATACTAAGTCTAAATCGAAAATGCTTAAAGAAAGTGCAAAATATTTGTCCTTCAAACTGAATTAATGAGGCTTGACTCCATGAATAGTCATGACCTCTCTCATATGACACTGAAGGAGGGACAGCAGAAGGACAGATATACAGACAATAATTTAATTTATATTTGAATATTTTGCTATTTATTCTAGTGTGTAACTTAAAGGTAGGCTAGAATGACAAATGCAGTCACAGAAATATAATGAAAAACTTACTCAAAGAATCATAATTCTTATACTGTATGTGTATTATATTTTTAAAAGTAAAAATTAACTAAAAAGTCACATGTGCTCCAGAATTTCCAAAACCTGTTAGATGATTTGTATGAGTGCCATGGCATTAAAACAAATTTTTCACCAAAGCAGGATGACTCAAAGAAGAAAACACTTTCACCATCACTTTCTCCCTAGCTGTGCCTTTCCCAAAGGGAATAAACATCATTGTTAGATGGTGACCCACTGAACCAAAACATCTCTAGCTGACTCTCAAAGTATAGGCATTACATTTCCCAACTTCAAAACTCTAATCTGGCTAAGACTCCAACAGCATGTCAAATCCCAAAGATCACCTGTCTCCACTCTGATCTAACACGCTAATACATGCTTGCTGTATGCTCAAAAGACTATCCCTCAATACCTCCTTCATACCCTCTCTAACCCTTCTGTAGATATTCTGCACACTAACTTCCATCCACTCAGGATTTATACATCATTTTAATCAGTCTCTCTTGCTCCGCCCTTTCTATTATTATTATAATCAAAAAGAAGCGCTAACCTCCACTCTCTCTAAATGACTACATTATCTTAGTGACCTCTTCCCTCCTCTGAATTATACGTTTCATACTGTCTACTAATTTTTTCACTTTATATTCTTTCAGATCAGTGAAAGGTGTAAATATTATGTAATCACATCTCAACTGCATCCAGCCTCCTCATTTCAGTACTAAAAATCTTACAAAAGGGAATGTACTCTGGTACATTCCCTTTTCCGCCTCCATTAATAAATTTTCTGTTAGACACCTCAACACTTCACCTACCTTTTTTTTGTCATTCTGTGATTTACCTCATCTTTCATATACTTGTCTGCTGGCACATCCATTCCCAAATATATAAATAAATTTGTTTTCTCCATACTACCACCTTCTTCCAGTCAAATATTCAATCTTTAATTGCATAGGCTCTTCTGCCTCAACACCTTGATCTTATTCTTTTTTACATCCTTCCATATTCTTCCACCACACTTTACAACTTCTCTTCTGAATCTCGAAAAGTACTGTGTCATCAGTAAATAAATGTGACAGTCCCCAGTTTATGTAATATTCGTTATCTTTTAATCCTATACTTCTCCCCAACCCTTAGCATTCACTTCTTTTGCACACTATAAATATATTAAATACACTACTCATCACAAAATCATGTCTAAGGCCTACTCTTACTGGAAAAATATTTCCCTTCTTTCTTATGTATCTTAACCTGAGCTTCACTTTCCTTCTAAAAATTTGACAACTTTTAATAACCTGCCACCTATTCCATAAATTTTCAACACCTGCTATATTGCCCATCCCCTATCCAACATACATGTTTTTTTTTTTTCCAAATCCACAACTGCAACAAATAGATCTTCACTCTTTATCTAAATTTTACTCATGTACATAATGCAAATTCTTGATTCACTTATTCCTTCCAATCCTAAATCATCCTTGTTCCTCAGTAATCCTACTTGTCTTTTCCCAATAATTCTTTCAATAATAATTCTAGTGTTCACTTGACCTACAATAGTCAACAGGCATCTTCCACTATAATTCTTACACATTCTCTTGTCTCACTGCCACCAGCAAAGGAACCATAGTTGCTTTCTGCCAATACTTAATAACCTCCTCTTCCTCAATACATATATTATAAAATAATTACAAAATAGTATATTTGCAGATGCTTTCATCATTTGTCTTAATTCTGTCTATTCTTGCTGGTTTACCCTTTTTGATTACTCACTGTCTCATCCACTTTCTTAAAACTCAATTTTGGATCTTCCCTTCTTCAAATAGAGCCTATTGCTTCATATCCCATTCATGAAATCACTGCCTCATTTTCATCAATAACATTTAACAACTCTGAATATCCTCTTCATCTTTCCATTACCTTCAACTCTGTACCTAACTTCTCATGCCTTTCATAACTGACTACTAAGCTCATTTTCCCAAGTATGTACATACATATGTATATACATGCATGCATGCATACATACATACATATACATACATACATACATACACATACATACATACATACATACATACATACATACATACATACATACATACATACACAACACACACACACACACACACACACACACACACACACACACACACACACACACACACACACACACACACATACATACATACACACATACACACACACACACACAAACACACATCAGGCTAAGGAAGGAAGGAGGAGAGACAACAGGAAATGACCGGGAAGTATGTGAAGAACTCAACAAGAGATTCAAAGAAGTGTTCACCAGAGGAGACAGAAGGGACTCCAGAAAGACGGAGAGGTGGGGCACACCACCAAGTGCTGGACACAGTGCACACAACCGAGGAAGAAGTGAAGAGGCTTCTGAGTGAGCTAGATACCTCAAAGGCAATGGGGCCAGATAACATCTCCCCATGGGTATTGAGAGAGGGAGCAGAGGCGCTATGTGTACCCCTAACAACAATATTCAATACATCTATCGAAACAGGGAGATTGCCTGAGGCATGGAAGACAGCAAATGTAGTCCCAATCTTTAAAAAGGAGACAGACATGAAGCATTAAACTACAGACCAGTGTCACTGACATGTATAGTATGCAAAATCATGGAGAAGATTATCAGGAGAAGAGTGGTGGAACACCTAGAAAGGAATGATCTCATCAACAGCAGCCAGCATGGTTTCAGGGACGGGAAATCCTGTGTCACAAACCTACTGGAGTTCTATGACATGGTGACAGCAGTAAGACAAGAGAGAGAGGGGTGGGTGGATTGCATTTTCTTGGACTGCAAGAAGGCGTTTGACACAGTTCCACACAAGAGATTGGTGCAAAAAACTGGAGGACCAAGCAGGGATAACAGGGAAGGCACTACAATGGATCAGGGAATACTTGTCAGGAAGACAGCAGCGAGTCATGGTACGTGGCGAGGTGTCAGAGTGGGCACCTGTGACCAGCGGGGTCCGCAGGGGTCAGTCCTAGGACCAGTGCTGTTTCTGGTATTTCTGAACGACATGACGGAAGGAATAGACTCTGAGGTGTCCCTGTTTGCAGATGACGTGAAGTTGATGAGAAGAATACACTCGATCGAAGACCAGGCAGAACTACAAAGGGATCTGGACAGGCTGCAGAACTGGTCCAGCAATTGGCTCCTGGAGTTCAATCCCACCAAGTGCAAAGTCATGAAGATTGGGGAAGGCAAAGAAGGCCGCAAACGGAGTACAGTCTGGGGGGTCAGAGACTACAAACCTCACTCAAGGAAAAGATCTTGGGGTGAGTATAACACCAGGCACATCCCTGAAGCGACATCAACCAAATAACTGCTGCAGCATATGGGCGCCTAGCAAACTCAGAACAGCATTCGACATCTTAATAAGGAATCGTTCAGGACCCTGTACACCGTATACGTTAGGCCCATATTGGAGTATGCGGCACCAGTTTGGAACCCACACCTAGCCAAGCACGTAAAGAAACTAGAGAAAGTGCAAAGGTTTGCAACAAGACTAGTCCCAGAGCTAAGAGGTATGTCCTACGAGGAGAGGTTAAGGGAAATCAACCTGACGACACTGGAGGACAGGAGAGATAGGGGGGGCATGATAACGACATACAAAATACTGAGAGGAATTGACAAGGTGGACAAAAACAGGATGTTCCAGAGATTGGACACAGTAACAAGGGGACACAGTTGGAAGCTAAAGACACAGATGAATCACAGGGATGTTAGGAAGTATTTCTTCAGCCACTAAGTAGTCAGTAAGTGGAATAGTTTGGGAAGCGATGTAGTGGAGGCAGGATCCATACATAGCTTTAAGCAGAGGTACGATAAAGCTCACGGCTCAGGGAGAGTGACCTAGTGGCGATCGTGAAGAGGCGGGGCAGGAGCTCGGACTCGACCCCCGCAACCTCAACTAGGTGAGTACACACACACACACACACACCAACACACACGCACACACAAGGGCCAGGAGCTGAGTCTCAACCCCTGCAACCACAATTAGGTGAGTACACACATACACATACACATGTATATGCACATGTACTCACAAACACACACACACAATGCACACACACACACACACACACACACACACACACACACACACACACACACACACACACACACACACACACACACACACACACACACACACTCACGAGGGAAAGACAGTGAATGAGATGATGCAATATGTGGCCAGAGTGCAGGGAGGCAGAGGGGAAAATTTGTACCCAGGGACAATAGAAACAATAGGAAAACCAGAGTGAATCCATGGTTTACCCAGAGGTGTAGAGGCCAAAGCTAAATGTGCACTAGAACATGGAAAAAGTGTATCAGTCAAGGAATCCAGAAAACGAAGAGTTTAGCCCTAGGGCCAGAAACAAGCATGCATACATGAGGGAGGCCCAGTAGTAATTTGAGAATAACATAACACTGAAAGCCAAATCTGACCCATAGTTGTTATATAGCCGCATCAGGAGGAAAACAACAATCAGGGACCAGGTAAACAGGCTAAAAAAGAAAGGTGTAGAGCTCACAAGGAATGACAAGGAAGTCTGTGAAGAGTTCAGCACGAGATTTTGGGAGGTATTTTCAGAAATAGAAAGGCTTCCAGCAGTCTGAGGTGGGAGAGTGCACCAGCAAATGCTGGACGCATTACACACAACCAGGGAGGTAGAACCAGATGATCTCTCTCTGTGGGTCCTGAGACTCAAGTCTATCAAAACAGGGCAACTGCCAGAGGTGTGGAAGACAGAAAATGTAGTCCCAATTTTTAAGAAAGGAGACAAAGAGGAAGCATTAAGCTACAGACCAGTGTCACTGACATGTACAGTATGTAATGTTATAGAGAAAATTATCAGAGGAGTGGTGGAGCACCTAGAAAGGAATGGGTTCATACATGACAACCATCAGAGCTTCAGGGATGGGAAATCCTGTGTCAAACCTACTGGAATTCTACAACAAGGTAATAGAAGTAAGACGGGGGAGAGAGGAATCAGCAAATTGCATTTTTATGGATTGTAAGAAGGCTTTTAACACAGTACCACACGAGAGATTGGTACAAAAGTTAGAGGAGAAGGCAGGATTAACATAAAAGAGACAGCAATGGATCAAGAATACCTGACAGAAAGGAAATAAAGGGGTGATGGACCATGGCGAGGTGTTGAATGGGTGCATATGACGAGTGGAGTTCCACAAGGATCACTTCTAGGGCTGGTGCTGTTCCTTATATTATGTGAGTGACATGACAGAAGGGACAGGGTTAGAGGTATCCCTGTTTGCAAACAACATGAAACTAGTGAAGAGAATACAAACAGATGAGGACCAGGAAAGGCTACAAATGGATCTGGACAGGCTACATGCCTGGTCTGACAAATGGCTCCTGGAGTTTATCCCCACCAAGTGCAAAGCTATGAATCTTGGAGAAAGACCATGAAGACTGCAGATGGAGTACAGGCTCTGGGGTCAAATACTGCAGATCTCACTCGGGTGAGTATCATACCAAGCATATCCCCTGAAAAGCACATCAACCAAAGAAATGCAACAGCAAATACACGTCTGGCAAATCTAGGAATAGCATTTCGACATGTAAGTAAAGAATTATTCATGACACTGTACACCACGTATGCCAAGCTCATATTGGACTACACAGCACCAATATGAAACCCACACCTGGTCAAGCACATCGAGAAACTGGAGAAAGTGCAAAGGTTTGCAACAAGATTAGTCCCAGAACTAAGGGATATGTCCTATGAGGAGAGGTTAAGTGAACTCAACCTGATGACACTGGAGGACAGGAGGACTAGGGGGTATATGATAATGACATATAAAATACTGAGAGGAATTGTCAAGGTGAGTAGGACAAAATGTTTTAGAAATGGGAAATAGGAACAAGAGGGCACAACTGGAAGTTGAAAACTCAGATGATTCATAGGGATGTTAGGAAGTATGTCTTCAGCCTTAGAGTTGTCAGGAAGTAAAACAATCTGGATATTGAAGTGGTAGAGGCAGGATCTATATACAGTGGTACGTCAGGATATGAACAGCTCAAAATGCAAACAATTATGTAAGTGTATTTATGTAAGTGCTTTTGTAAGTATATTTTTGGGGGTCTGAAATGGATTAATCTAATTTACATTATTCCTTATGGGAACAAATTCGTTCGATATCAGCACTCGAACAGCCTTCTGGAATGAAATAAGTTCGTATCCCAAGATACCACTATATAGCTTTAAGAAGTAGTATGTAGATAAATGATTCAGAGAACTGACAAGTTGATAAATTAGACATGTACAGCACTTGGGTATCTAATGAAGAAATGTTTCACCACACAGTGGCTTCATCAGTCTTACACAAAGAAGAATGGTGAAGATTAGAAGTAGTTTGAGATAATCAGTCCCTCAGCCTGAAGTCGATGTAATCAGTCCATCAATCTTGAAAAAAAATACAACATATGCATGAAGAAGTGGTTTATATACTATAGACAAGTGAGGGAATTCTTCACTTGCCTAACCAAATAGGCATGACCTACCTCTGTATGTGGATTTGTCCACTGCTTCACCTCACCTGTCAACAGTATATAAGCCACTTCTTCGTGCATATGCTGTATTCTTTTAAAGACTGATGAAAGTGGAATAGTCTGGAAAGTGATGTAGTGGAGGCAGGAACCATATGTAGCTTTAAGAAGAGGTATGATAAAGCTCCTGGAGCAGGGAGAGAGTGACCTAGTAGTGATCAGTGAAGAGGTGGAGCCAGGAGCTATGAATCGACCCCTGCAACCACAAATAGGTAAGTAAACACACACACACACACACACTCAGGCAGGACTACAAAGGGATCTGGACAGGCTGCAAGCCTGGTACAGCAACTGGCTCCTCAAATTTAACCCCGCCAAATGCAAAGTCATGAAGATTGGGGAAGGGCAAAGAAGATCACAGACAGAGTATAGGCTAGGTGGACAAAGACTGCAAACCTCACTCAAGGAAAAGGATCTTGTGGTGAGTATAATACCGAGCACATCTCCTGAGGCACACATCATCCAGATAACTGCTGCAGCATATGGGCGCCTGGC